TTGTTCAATATGTTAAGAGGGTCAGGATGAGACACATCAGAAAAGACCAGGAGAAAAGTCAATCAGAAGCAAGGAGTAGGCTGGGCTTACTGCAGTAGCTAAGTGAGTAGGGTGTCAGCCACATACACCAAAGGTGGTGGGTTCAAGCACAGCCAGGGCCTGCTAAACAATGACAACTGCAACCAAAAAAAGAAAGAAAGAAATAGCCAGGTGTTGTGGCAGGTGCCTATAGTCCCAGTTCCTTGGGAGGCTAAGGCAAGAAAATCTCTTAAGCCTAAAAGTTGCAGGTTGCTGTGAGCTGTGATGCTACAGCACTCTACAGAGGGTGACATAGTGAGACTCTGTCTCAAAAAAAAAAGCAAGGAGTGATGTTATTAATAGTTTCAGCAATATCTCCAGTAGCCAGAAGGTTCTTATGAATGTACAGTATTGTGTTTTACCAGATCTAGTCTTATTCTCACCCAACCACCTTCTCTAGCAACACAAGGTTCTTTTAAAGAGATGTCTGCAGTCTTGAGTCTTACTGCATCATTATCTAAAAAACGTAACACCTCACAGTAAAACCTAGGGGTAAGATGTGGACACAGTATACGAAGACAGTGAGTGGGATAAGGCTCTTACTTTCTTTCTTTTTCTTTTAGAAACAGGGAAGATTGACCAAGAGATTCACAAATACAACACCCCAGGATTCACTGGCTGCCTCTCCAGAGTCCAGTTCAACCAAATCGCCCCTCTCAAGGCAGCCCTGAGGCAGACCAACGCCTCCGCTCACGTCCACATCCAGGGCGAGCTGGTGGAATCTAACTGCGGGGCCTCGCCGCTCACACTCTCCCCCATGTCGTCGGCCACCGACCCCTGGCACCTGGATCACCTGGATTCAGGTAAGGTCTACAGCAGGGTTGGGTGGATCGCGGTGCTTCTTTAAACCTGACTTCCTCAACAGTAACAGAACATCATTGGTGATGTCACTGGAGGATTAAGAAAGAGCCAAGGAATGTGTGAACACGAGAGTTCTCAGCACAGCAATTGCATGGCAGAAGTACCCAGGGCCAGAAGAAAACAAGTCAAAGTGTAGAATGTAGGAATAGTCGCCTCTTCGTTTAAGGTGAATAAAGAGGTGCCTGCACTGACATCTCTAACATCCCTGTGGCGTGATTGGACCAGATCATTTCCTCAATTCTGCCTATTAGGACTCTGACTTATAGCCATACAGCCCGTATTTTAATATTAGAAGAGATTTTCCTAAAGTGATACAGAGATCCAGCTCCTGGATTAACCTGTAGCCTTCTAGAACTTTAAGAGGTGCATTTAAGCTTACGCAACTCAGTGGACTCAGTCCCACATCTGCATGTGGTAAGACGTGTAATTTGAAAGCCCAGGACTCAAATGAAAAGCTGTAGCTGTAGGCTACAAAACTGTATGAAAAGTCAATGTCCACCCACCCCGAGAGGTGAAGGACCCGTTAAACAGCATCTCAGGAGACTTAGGTCTTACTCTAAGTTCCACCTAAATTGATCTTGGATACCTTCTAAGGTGATCTCTCTCAGCCTCTGCTTCTCCATCCATACGGTGGAGAAGTGGGGTGTCATCTGTAAGTGACTTCCAAATCCATCATCCGGTGGGTCTCTAAGCAACGTGTGATGTTGCTGATGCTAAGAAGAGGAAGAGGTGAGGGGCAGGCAGCAGGGCGCAGAGGCTGGGTCCCAGCACCGCCACCGCCGCTCGCCCACAGACTGAGCTCAGGCAGCCTTCATAACCTCATTCCTCAGTTTCCCCACCTCTCAATTGGAGATAAGAAGCTCCAACTCATAAAATCATATCTGAGATGATGTGTTTAAATACTTAGCAGAATCACAGCCATATAGCAAGCCTTAAAAACGTTTAGCCTGTGGCTCAAGTGGCTAAGGTGCCAGCCACATACCTAAGGTGGCAGGTTTGAATCCAGCCCGAACCTGCCAAACAACAATGACGGCTGCAACCAAAAAATAGCCGGGCGTTGTGGCAGGCGCCTGTGGTCCTAGCTACTTGGGAGGCTGAGGCAGGAAACTTGCTTGAGCCCAGGAATTGGAGGTTGCTGTGAGCTGTGAAGCCACGGCACTCTACCCAGGGGGATAGCTTGAGGCTCTGTCTCAAAAAAAAAAAAAAAAAAAGTTCGGCTGCAATAATATTAATAATAATCATGGTCATTATTATATTAGACAAAATTTGCTCTAACACTTAAACATCCAGTTAAAGCTTTCAGATCCTCCCCCCATGCAGACTTCTAATTTGCGACGGTTCCTCCTGTAAACGGTGTGCATTTGATTGCTTTAATCATATTCTGGCCTCACACACAGTATTTATCGGCTTCAGCACAGCTACTGTCACCACAATTCCTTGCCAGGATTACACTGTGAAGCTTGGCGAAGCCCAGAAATAAGCCAGAATCGCCCCTTTGTCAGAAGAGCCAATTTACAGACTAAATAATCCTCTTTGTTCTTCACACATGGATTCCTATACCTTGATGAGGGGCGCTGTGCGCCAAGGGCACTTATAAAGAATTCCCTTTTATGCATGTCATTAGGATTACACAGCAGGATGGTTTTTCCTCCTGGGCTGGCGTGAACAAAGGAAAGCTTTCCTAAGGCTGAAAGAAGAAAAGTAACAGTGAAAATATGACAGGAGAAAAGACAGACCTTGGGGCCACGAGGAGCAGGGATTTCTCAGGTAAAATCGTCCACAGGGCGCAGTGGACGGAGACCATGTGATCTGTGAAATGCACAAGTCTTCCTGCTGTTGCAGATACTGCACAAATGATCGTGCCCATAGTCAGGGCCAAGGAATTAGTTTCAAAAACATCTAGATCCTATCTTAGGCCAGTATGAATCCATGGTTATTATGACTTAATTAAACAGCTGCTTATGAGGTCTGTAAGATAACAGTTGTAGGAAACGTCTTAGTTCCTTCTTCTTTAAAAAAGTCATTCTTTGTTTATGACACTTTCTTTCTTTTGATTGATTCATGAAAACCTAATGGGGAACATTCCTTTGAGTATTCAATGTTCAAATCAAAATTCTGTACTTCCAGCTGGGTGCAGTGGCTCACACCTGCAATCCTAGTACTTGGGGAGGCCAAGGGGAGAGGAATGCTGACAGCCAGGAGTTTGAGGCCAGCCTGAGTAAGACTTCATCTCTACAAAAAAATAGGAAAATTAAGTGGCCATGATGGTGGGTACCTGTAGTCTTAGCTGCTAGGGAGGCTGAGGCAAGAGAGCCACTTGAGCCTAAGAGTTTGAGCTTGCAGTGAGCTATGATGACACCACTGCACTCTGGAGAACAGAGACTCGGTATAAAAAGAAAAGGAAAAGGAAAACAAAAAGAAAAAAAATCTGTGACTCCAATGCTATGACAGGCTTGTGCTATGTATTGTTAGGTCCATTTGCAGAAAAACTTCACTGGGCCAAGAGCTGCTCTCCGATGTCAACCAGTTGCAGTATCAGCCATTTCCATAATTTCCGTGATTGTCAAAATGCTTATTAAAAATACCTATCTGTTTCACAGACTCTATTAAAGGACAGAAAGCAGCTTACAAACTCTGAGGCAGAAGGTTTACTTAAATAGCATGATTTGATTTTTTTTTTCTTTAAGGTGAATTGTGCCATTAGAGGGAACGTGGGGTAGGGGGGCTAAAATGAGCCAGAGGACAGGTGTAGACATGAGGGAAGGTCTGCAGCTTCCAGTGGCTCCATCCTCTACCCTCTTAATTCAGTTATGGGAGGCCTGCAAATTAAACTGATAAAAGACGGATTAACAGGTGAAGAAAACCTTAGTTGTATACATATAGGAGCTTACAAAAGAACTCAATAAAAGATTAATGCTAGAGATTTGTATGCCTACCTTAGTACGGAAAGGGGGCATGGAGAAAAGCTCTTAATGTGCAGAACACATGGGTTTCAAGAAGGATAAATGAGAGATAAAGTCTTCGATAATTTTTTCCGTGCAGATGTGAGTGATGGTCACCTCTCCTTCATGTCCATAAAATGAATCCCAGCAGCTGCTTCAGTTTTAAATAATGTTCATACCTGCTGGGTTCTCAGGGCATCCCCACAGCAGCAGTTGTACTCTGGTTTTTGGAGCCCAGGTTCCTTGTTCCAAATTCAGATTTGAGGGGGTTGCATTTTTTAAATAATTTTTCATGTTTGAGTAGATTAAGAATTCTTGTCATCACGGTTCAATTTACAATTGCAAAGACGTGGAAACAACCCAAGTGCCCTTCAACACATGAATGGATTAATGAACTGTGGTACATGTATACCCTGGAATACTATTAAGCCATAAAAAGGTGGAAATTTTGTATCCTTTGTTACAACTTAGGAGAGTGTTCCCCAAGTCCATCCAAGTGCTACAAGAAAGGGAAAAGCAAGCATCAATCAATACTAATTTGAAACTTGTAGTTTAACAACAACATGTGCTCATGAGAGAAAAATTCAATTAAATCCAAGCAGGGAGAGGGGGTGGGCAGGTTCCTTCCCAGTGGGAACAACGTAGGGGTATATTGCACACTTCCCGGGCAAAGAAAACAACTACAACTTAGATTTTACCTCAAATATGCCCTCCTATTAATCAGAGATTTTTTAAAGAATTTTTGCTATTAGATATTCATAAACAAAACAATAGTACATACAGAAAAATGCCATGTCTGTCTGAGTCTGTGTAGGATTAGGACGGGAGGAAAATCCAGGTGAGAGGTAATTAGTGCTGGCTTGACTAGGCGACTTTTGGAAGTAGATTATTTCATTGGGTGCCTCGGCAAGTTGGTCCTTGACAGCGCCATTAGCTCCGGGAAGCTTGTGGGAAATAGTTTCTCAGACCCCTCCCAGACTGGAGGGGAATCAGCATCTGCGGTTAAGCAGGGTTCCCAGGGCACTCGCCACTCCCGCCGTAACGACTGGGGGACGTTTACGCTTCTCCATCTTGGTAACACTTTAGAGTTTCCTGGGGAGCCTTTTACTTCCCGATATCAAGAAGACACTTTCCTGGATCATTTCTCCAGTTGGTCACTGGGGCAGGTTCTCTGGACGTGTGCAGCTCCCAAAACCACCGGGAGGGGGCGCGCGCCCCCTCCTGAGCGAGAGGCCGGCTTAGCGTTGCGTGGCTGCACCTGCTCTTCGCCCCTTGATGGCTGTCTCTTCCTTGCGCCGTGGGAGGGAGAGGACGTCATCTGAGTGGTCTCTGGGTAGGTGAGTGGGTGGGCGTGTCCCACGAAGGATGCAAAAAATATATACACACATTTTAAGAAAAGAAAAAAACGTATTAAAATTGTATTATTCAACATATGCCAATAACGTTTGTTCTCTTGTATGTTGTAGTTTGTGTCTCTTGTAATTGCAGAAGTCAAATGTGACCTGAGTATTACATTTTTTAATACAGTATTTTCCTTTCTTAAAATGTGTACACATTTTTTGGCCCCCACATGTATGTCTGTGTGTCTATGTGTATAAAAATCCCAGTGTCTGGTTTATACCCTCGACTGATTAAATCAGACACTCTGGGGTGGGAGGCAGGTATCTGTAGATGTAAAACCTCCCCAGGTGACCCCAATGTGTGGCCACAGTTGAGAGTCATTCAAGAAATAAAGCAGTCCCCTAAATAAGCCCTTCAAAGTAAGGTTGCCAAAGGAAAAAATTAAATGCTCAAATAAGTGCAAAAATACTAAAAATAAAAACAAGTTTATGAAAAACAATGAAACTTTTACGTGGTGAAACCACAACTAGAAAGATCATGGCAACAAGCTTGCAGAAGGACCAGTTTACAAGGAAGCTCGCCCAGATGGAGAGGGGACTTTGATCTCAATTTGAGGGAAATTGACCTGCCTATTTTCACTGGGAAAACAGACTGAAAACAAGAGCAGTAGGTTCACAGCGGGGCAGGACTCTGAGCTCTTGAGGAAGATGCCAAAGTATGGCTCAGGGCTTTGAATGGCCACTAACTTCCTTTGAAAGATATTAGATAACAATGCTGCTTTAAAATGAGCGTTGTGGTTTTCTGAAAACAAATCATGTGTCTTGCTGAGAAGACTATGGACTCTCAGGGCCTTGGTGTTAAAGGGAGCCCAGTGATCGGCCAGGGCTTCTCCATTGGTACCTATACCAGGATATTTATTTTGCAGAAACTTGCTGTTAACATGGAAACTAGAATGCAAGACATCTCCCCATGGTCTCATGATCTTTCTGTCCCCTTATGTTTCTTCCTTCTGATCATATTAATGGTAAAGCAGCAACAGTCCATGTTCTGGGGTTGCTGGCTTCATCTGATAAGATCCTGTTTCTGTTCTGTCAAGCTCCTGATTGACCTACTCGCTCCCTCTCCAATGGCCTTTGGGCTCTATTGGTGTTTTCTAAATGAGGCCCGTTTATGATTGATCAAGATGTGCACTGCAATTGGTGGCTCCCAGAGCAGTGAAATGAGGTAGCCTTGATAAAGGGGCACCAGGTCCTCGCGGGGAGCAAATAGACATGGCTTCACACAACACACTAAGAAAGCCACTTCTCTTTCAGTCCTTCTGATGGTGTCAAAGGGAAGGTCTACGGCTCTATCACAAGGTGAAAAGCCATTGTGAGAAAGGAGCAGGTTTCCGGTCAGAGCCTTGACAGGCAATGGAATTACTTGATGGAAATAAAAATTGTATTAGTACATTTATTTAAATAAGAAACTAGAGCAAATTTAGTGAAAATAAGTAAATAAACAATACTTGGGTTTTACACGCAAGAGGAAAAAATGTGAAGGTGGTTGGTTACCTTGAAAGGGGAGTTTGGAAGACACAGGCAAGATCATTACAAGCCCAGAGCCTGGCATGGGGCTCTAAAAATGAATTTTTCTAGGAATAAATAATAAACAAAACTCTTCCAAATCCTTATTTAAGCTGACTTGGTTTAAACTGATTCTGTTCTATTAGAAACATCCAATTTTTTTTTCTCCAAGCTTTTCTCCACTTTGAGTAAAGGCAGGTTGTTTCTAAACCACATCATGGTATGGTCCGTAGGAATATTTTTTAGAACAGTGGTTAGCTACAAGGTAGAAAAAGTCACCCTGCCCCTGAGGTCCAGTTTATTTGAAGGTAGCTGAATGCCTAGTGATTGCTATGATTTACCTCTCAAAATTACAGGCTCTGGTTGGGGGGTTTTTGTTTTGTTTTAATTTTTTTGTTTTTTGTTTTTATTCTCTTTGTCAAATTCAGCAAATCATATTTTCTTGGAGTGGAAAGGATTTGTCAGCAGGAAGAAAACTACAGATGGTAACACACATTCTGTCAACTATAAAAACAAAACAAACAGTAGAAAAAGTAAATTCAAGAGTCTGATCCCCTAAGTTTCTGTACTAAGGAACATTCTAAACTGTACACCAAACTGTTTTCTTTTTTTTTTTTCTTTTTTTTTTGGTGGGGGGACAGAGCCTCAAGCTGTCCCCTTAGGTAGAATGCTGTGGCATCACAGCTCACAGCAACCTCCAACTCCTGGGCTCAAGCAAGTCTTCTGCCTCAGCCTCCCAAGTAGCTGGGACTACAGGTGCCCGCCACAACGCCTAGCTATTTTTTGGTTGCAGCCATCATTGTTGTTTGGTGGGCCTGGGCTGGATTCGAACCCGCCACCTTAGGTGTATGTGGCTGGCGCCTTAGCCACTTGAGCCACAGGTGCTGAGCCACCAAGCTGTTTTCTGAGGCATTCGTGTTAAGCCTTGGGGTATTTCATCACATTCATGATATTTGATACAGAATCCATCAGACCCAAGGATACAGCCTAGGATCTTTTTCAAAATGTAATTAAAATAGAAAACATACTTTAAAATACAAAGTTTTGTTTCCTAAGGGACCTTCTAGTTATAAAGCTTATAACTAGTTATTATTTTCTTTTTTTCTTTTGAGACAGAGCCTCAAGCTGTCCCCCTGGGTAGAGTGCCGTGGCATTACAGCTCACAGCAACCTCCAACTCCTGGGCTCAAGCGAGTCCCCTGCCTCTGCCTCCCAAGTAGCTGGGATCACAGGCGCCCGCCACAACGCCCGGCTATTTTTTTTTTTTTGGTTGCAGTCATCATTGTTGTTTGGCGGGTCCGAGCTGGGGATTCGAACCCGCCACCCTAGGTGTACGTGGCTGGCACCTTAGCCGGTTGAGCTATAGGCGCCGAGCCATAACTAGTTATTATTTTATAGGACTTCTAGTCCAGGTAATCTCAGCACAGGCTGCATGATATGTGATATGCTGCATCTTGCCCCAGAAAGACCCCCAGAACTTGGCCTATGTGAGTTGCTGGCAGTTGAATTTACAATATCCACTGTCACCTTGAGTAACCTGCTTCCCTGAGGCTAACCTCTACCTGATACTGGAAAGGCCCTCCGCCAGGAGTTCTTGAGGGAAGTGGGAAGGATGTGGAAATTCCAGAGGCACAGTGGAGAGGAAGGTGGTTAACACCCACCCAGTTCTCTTGCCCACATCCAAGTTCAGAGGTTGTCAGGAATCCAGGGTTGATGATCCAAAACCAGATTTGTCTGGTGGATTCACTCGGGTTTGCAGAGTGATTGACAACCAGCCCTCTCAGGAAGGTCGATCTGTTCCCAGATAAATTAGGAACTAGACAGAATGGGGCACTTAGGATCACTCTGCGTAACAACCCCATGCGGTTCCAGAATAAGCTGCTCAGGCACTGAGCAGTGGAAACACCGAGTTTGGTTCCCGAAGGCATCTTACCTCAGTCCTATGATTTTTAATGAGCTGATTCTGGTCTATATTCCAAATTTCCTTTCTGTCATTTGATAATAAAATATTTTTGTATCTCCATGTGCAAAAGAGCTGTATGAAGAACATTTAAAAACTGCACTTAGCTATTCAGTTTTCTTCATAATTACGAGCTGGCACTTTGTTCTCCTTTCCACCTGCAAGCACTTAAAAGCAATCTCTCCAGCTCTTATAATTACGTCTTAATTATTTCTGAGCAGATCCCTTTTCTCATCTTTATGCCAAGATTGCATGATTAACACATTTTTATCTCTTATGCTTAATCTTTTTATTATCTTATTTGTCTTTTCCCCTTCAGTTACCAACGCAGTACGCATTTATTCAAGCGCAAAGAAAAATTATTATCCTCCATTTGCTAATGTACATTTTCCTGCCAAAGATCCAAATTCTGCTCTTCCTGCAAAAGCACCGAGCACATTTGTATATTCCAAGTCAAAAATGATATTCAACGACAATAATCTCAAACAAAACAACAAAAAAATATAAAATTTGAGTTTGAGTTTTCATTGAATGGTCATACGGTTGTTTCCCATCTTTTATTAATATTTCTACAATGTTTCCATAGTATTTAATAAATTGCTTTTGACACATGACTCTGTGGAATCAAAGGTATTTTTAATTTTGATAGTTATTACAAATCCTCCTCCAAGGATGAAGTCCCAGTGACAGTCCAACAATATACAAATACCTTCCCCCACCTCCTTGTGGCGAGTTGGGTTAAACTTGGCCTCCTCACCAAGGGCTAGGAGGTGCCGGATTGTTTGGAACAGCTTTGATTAAGCCGGCAGGTGCCATGTGTTCTGAGTAATTGTCATTAGTGTGTAATGTGGAGCCACTGTTGTCCTGGCTACTGGATGAGGCCCCAAAGCTTTCCCTCTGGGGGCAAAGAAGCTTCCTAGGCCAGCTCACCTGCCCCCATGAGCTGAAAGAAGGTGGATGTCCCCAGGCCTGCTTCCTGGCCACCACAAGTTGAATAAAGGGCATGTCACAGCTACCTTCAACCCCAGGTTTCTTTGGCGGTCTGTCCCAATCCAGTGCCAACCTTTTCAGCTTCAACCAGGGGCACTATGATGCTCATCAGTATAACGTGTCCTAGTATAGTTTTTAATTTTGTTGTTTTGTTTGAAAAATAAAATTCTGTTTTCATTTGTGTAAGGACAGGAAAAAGTGGCCCTTCTCTCCCGTGGCCTTGGGTGTGGACAAGATGAAGTTGTCAGGCTTTCCTCCCTGGGAGAGCACCAGGTGCTCCTAGACCGTGTGCTCAAGCCGTGCTATGTGACTGCTGCTCCGCCTATTACCACTGTTGTTCCCCTGGGTATGAAGGTGGCCAGGACCTTTCCCTGTGCAGATTTCAGATTCCAGATCGCAGATCGTGATGTGTAATTTAGCTCCCCGGCCTCCAGGAGCTAGGGCGGACCATCCCCCTACTTCAGCTCACCAG